TTTTAATATGACGCCTCGGTTTGTGACTGAGAGGAATAACGTTTGGATTTCCCGTTCGTCGCTGGAACAAATCAGTTCCAGAGCAGCTGAACCCCACAGACCTCAGCAGAATGTCAGATCTTATCTATTAATCAAACAAATTCACGTTTCACTTCGCCACAGATGAACTTCTCCCATCATCCCGGTCGTGTTTGGGCTGGCGGTGGACTGACGGCGGGTTTGGCCGTCAGGAAGGTGAGGCGAGCCCAGCGGTTGACGTCAGGCCGTCGCGCTCCGATGATCCCTGCAGAAAGACACGACTAGTTGAACCTGAGACCGGGACTCGAGAAAGGCGGCGTGCTTTCCCAACAGATGGCAGCGCTCCGGAGACGGCAGGGGGAAACCAAAAGTGGAGTGAGAGTAAAGGAAAGCCGCACTTTGTGGTTCTCCCAAATCTCTGCTTGTTTTTATGACTTTTGCATTTTTATTTACCCTCTAACCACCGCCTGGGACTGAAACGTGGCAAACATCAGTTTTATTTGTCTCAAGACAGCGTTTTGAAGCCAGAGCTTCAGAGCCTGCTGGCTCGGGGTTCCTCTCTTATACACAGAGCGATAAAACAACAAACTTCTTTCTGGTTCTCATTACAGCTTTGTGAAAAAGCTTCTTTAATTCCTAACGTTTTGGAATGCAGAAACAAAATGTATTTTTTTTCAAACCAAACCAGCCGTGTTGAAATCATGCCTGTCGTGTTTCCAGCTGGTGGTTAGGAACACTTTCTGCTGGCGTGGCGCTCGCACGACAATAAAACTCTCGTATTTACTTTTGTTTTTGTTAGAGAAGTGCGGGTCGGGCCGCTCTGAGCACCGAGTCGTCCTGCGAGACGCTCCGAGCAGCTTTACGATGAGAGCACCTGCTTTTCACCTGCTCCTGTGAAAAGCTTCACTCTGATTGATAAGAAATGATCAAATCTGTCAACAGGAGTCGGTAAACCTGCAGGTCTGCAGCCACCACAGACACAAACCTTTGAATAAGAAACACATTTTTACAAGATGAGCAACTAAAGTTAAGTGAAAAACTAGATTCTTGTGACATTTGTGTTGAAATGCGTCATAAATTAATGCATTGCCTAAAATATAAATATATATAAATATATATATATATATATACTGTATATAAAGTAAAGGCCCATCATTTTCCCACTTTTCACGACAGTTTTAAAACACTGAGAAAAGACGGAACAATCTGGGAGTTTTCAACCCAGAACACGAACAAACTCAGGGAATTAAAATCTTAAACTTAATTAAATTAAAATTAAACAACAGTGCTGGTGTGGCAGCAACTCCCAGAGTCTGTGGAGGAACACGAGGAGGGAAAGGAGACACAAAAACCATGATGGGCACTGAATATATGGGGTAAACTGGAAAGTGGAGGCACCTGAGCTGATTGTCGGGTGGAGACAGGTGAAAGTGGGCGTGGCAGGCTGACTGTGTGACACAGGGGAGTTGAGTCAGAAACATTAAACACAAGATCAGTTACATCCTAACCATGCAACACAAACATTTAAACAAAACTAGCAAAGAGCACAGATCCTGACGTAAAACTTTGGTCAAAACTCCAAAAAATCATCTGACGCAGAAATTCATCAGATCTGTGATCACTCGTCACGCCGAGCTGACGGGCGGCTGCAGAGCATTGGCAGAAACATTTGATATTTAGATCATATAAAAATGATAAATAAATTCCTTACCTACGGGTTTGTTGAATGAAACGTCTGAAAGAATCCTGAAGCTGTTTCTGAGCAGGACTAACGACAAACCACAGTTCTGAGCTGGAAAGCCCTAAATTTAGAGCTAATCTGTGAAATCAGATATCCAAACACGGATTGAGGTTTCCTCTTTCCAGTAACATCAAGAAATCCTCGGGATTATTCCAACTACAGGACAAATCAAGTCATATCTCTGGAACCTGGGAATCCAACAAAGTGCTTCGTTCATTTTGACCAAATCTGGTGTAATCCCTGATTTTATGTGATGGTCACATTTTCGTTTAATATCTGTAAAAATTACTGGGTTAGATAATTTTTTGTTTCCTGAGATTAGCATAATCTTGCTGAGATCAGAGGACGTGGTTTTTATGGAGGCCTGAAGGCTGCCTGACATGCATGTTTTTAGAAAACCCACGAGGAGAACATGCAAACTCCACGCAGAACCACAGACCCAGCCCAGGGATTGAATCCACGAGCCTCTTGTTGTGAGGCAACAGTGCTAACCACTGATCCATTGTGTTGCCATGTATTACACATATATTGTCATACTGTCTCATGTTGTCAGTAGCTGTGAGGTTTTTATTTTTGTAGTTTTTGTATTTATTGTTCGACTTCATGTAAATCTCTGTCCCTTCAGGTCAGTGTTTCTCAGAGCTCCTGCTCCTCAGTCCTCCCATGTCCACTCACACCTGTCCCCCTGTCTCTTCATGCACAGCTGTTCCTAATCTCCTCGTCCACCTCAGTCCATTTAGTCCGTCCGTCTCCTTCTCACCAGTTTGACATTGAGTGTCCACACATCGTGTCTGTGTCCTCCTCTGTGTCCTCCCCTCGGTTGTGGTTATAAGTAATTTGCTGCCACACCAGCCTTTTAGTTGTTGATTTATAAATGTTTTTTTTTTTTCCACTTTATCTTCTTGAGTTTAATTCTGTAACAAATTGTGCCATTGTTTTATATCTTCATAAACTGTGTCATATCTTTATTTTATATGTATATTTCTTTATATCTTTGTTATTCATATTGTCTCATAACTGCTCGGATGTCCCTAAAAGCAGCAAGCAAACTCTTTGTCTGTGCATCTTACCTGCACAGCTTTAGTCCTCACTAAAATTATATAATAATAAAATAATAATCAAACATCCCCATCAGCATGTAGTGCATCAATCGTTATGACAGAATAAATTGGCTTAAATAGCTAATTTTACACCAAATATCAAGCACACACAATAAAATGTGCTGCTTTTACAACAAATCAATGACCCAAAAGCACTACCCTGTGGCACTCCCCTTAACTCGGCATCATTAAACAGCTGTGGACGGACGTCAGCAGAGCTCAAAGCTCTCTGAGGGTCTGAGAGCTCGGCTGACAAAAGAAAAGTGAGGAGTGTGACTCGACGCACACCACGCTGCCTGGCCTCAGCTTCTAGTCCCGTTCCATTTGGGAACAAAACAGTAAGAATAAAAGTTTTTAAACGCAAATATGCTTAACCTGTTCTCATGTTTATAACTTTGGAAAAATCGTAATGTTTTGATCATTTTCACATGAAAAACGAGTGCCGCCACATTTATTCACAGATTCATAACGAGTTTCATTATTTCAGAGTGAGAGAGATTTATTTGTCATACACACCACACGTGGTACATGAGGTGGGACAAAACTATGTGCACAGGGTCCCAGTTACATCCAACAAAAACACAGACTGTAAAGAAAAACATGAGTAAGATCCGAGTCCTGAACTAAGAATGTACAACATTCACTAAACTAAGAGCACACTAAGCTCTAATGGTACAAAAACATGCACCAAACAGCAGCATGAGATATGTTATGTGTGACATAATTAAATCAGTATGTTAACATGCTATTTATCCAAAGCTTTCTTTAACTGTTAATAAACAAACAATCCAGTAAATGTTTTTATCTACTGTTTTTGGTTTTTTACCTGTAATTACCTGCTCACTTGAAAGGTAAACACTTGGGTAACTGTGTGTCTGTGTTAGTAAAATAACCCATGAGCTATTAGACAAGAGTTAAAACTAAAAATAAATCTGTCTGCACAGCTACAACTGATCAGTCCGATTCAAAATGGCTGCCACAGCTACCTTCGCCCACACAAACACGGTGATACGTGGGTGAATTTGACAGATACTGAGCTAAAATCTGGTGTGGTAGTAGCTGAGAGTCATTCGTATGAAATGTGTGGGATTTAGAATAACATTTAAAATGATACGGCTCATTCTCCACGAGATGATTTTAGCGTGATGAAAGGCAGCGGGTGACATGCATTCCTCCCAGGAAGACTCTGCTTCGTCGTGTTTCGCCACTTGTTGTCTTCATCAGGTGAGCTCTGATTTATCGTGGCCAGTCTCCGCTCCCTCTGCGTGTTTCAGGGTTTAGTTTTCTGTAGCTGCTTTCATGAGCGGGTTTCTTCACTTTGTTTGTGTTTCTCACCTCCGTGTGTTTTAATTCTGTAACATCGGTTCAGTTTTCCTCCGCCTGCCACGCCCACTCTCACCTGTTCGTCAGCTGTTTCTCATCATCCTCAGAAAACGTGAACGAAAAATATTCAGAGAAACGATGTTCATTCTGCGCCACTGTGCTCTGGCGGCACGGTGGCTCAGTTAGTAGAGCTGCCGCCTCTCAGCGAGAAGGTCGTTTGTTCAAATCCCAACCGGGGACCTGTCTGGGTGGAGTTTGCATGTTCTCTCCGTGCATGCGTGGGTTTTCTCCAGGTACTCCTGTTTCCTCCCACAGACCAAAAACATGCATGTTAGGCTGAATGGTGACTTTAAACTGTCCCTAGGTGAGAGAGAGTGAATGGTTGTTTGTCTCTGTGTCCCTGAGGACAGGGTGTCCTCCAGTCCAGGGACTGTCCTCCACCTCTCGCATAGTGACTGCTGGATATGGGCACCAGTGACCCCCGTGACCTGAAAAGGAAGAAGCGGGTTAAGATGATGGATGGATGGATGAATTAAAACCACTAAACCTGAATTTGCCTGCTGTTTTCCCAAACATCCAAAAATAAAAAGTTGTGTCATAAATTGGAGTAAAAGGAGCTGTGCAGGAAAGGGACGTGTTGACTCGGCAGCTTCGGGGGTACAGGTGCTAAACAGCTGAAATGATGACTAACGAGCCTCGAGGGGTGATGTGATGCTGACGACACGGACTAAAAAAAGCTCTCAGTGAGGATTCTGACCCGACTGCGTTCCCCCGCTGTTGTTCTGTTCCTCACCTTGCCTTTTCCCTCCCTCCTCCAGGTAACACATGTCAAAATGGCCTCCTGCCTGCTCTGGTGCGTCCAACCCTCCCGTCTGTCCAGACCTCCATGAGCATGAAGCAGTTCCTCCCGATCCCGTTGGAAACAGCCTCCACCGTCGGCCTCTTCCCGGGGTTCAACACGGTGAGTGTCGTCTTCAATCTGTTCGCGTCACGCGCTCTGCTCGCTGCAGCGAGGCGAGGTTCGACTCTCGCTGAGGTCACACTGCAGCGTCTTGCTGCCATCTGAACAACAGACGTGACAGCTTTGCTTCTCTGTGCGCCTGACCTTGAAGATATACCGTCGTATTTACTGGTGAGATGTTTCTGGAAGTTACACGTTTGCTGTCTTTCTTCCAGCTGTCGGTGCCGCCTCGAGGCTACAGGAAGGTTCATGCATGTTTGAGGGTGCTGGTGCACTGGAGCATTGTTGCTACTGTTTCTGTCCTGCAGCTGTGGAAAAACTCAAAAATACACTTAAATACATGGTTCAGTCAGGATTAGTGTGCTGAGACTTGTGGCAGCAGAACATCGACTTGAGCAGAGACCAACAGAGAGAAACAAGTTCCCCATTAACGGCGATAGTTTGGTCAAATGAGCAGCTCTGGTAGGAGCTCTTTCACAGTAGAAACATTGTTCAGAGTTCAAACGGGTCACAGGATGTTGGACTTCACACGTCTTCACTGGCATTTTAACGTCTTTTACGGTTTTTACACGATCACAGTTTAAGTTTTATGATATGAGGTGATTTTACCACAAAAGCTGTTAAACTTGGAATGATGTCACACAAAGTTGTCTAAACTTTCCAGAACTTTTGCAGATAAAGTCGTATTGTCACAACCTTCCGTCACATCAAAATGCATTTTTCTCTGTTCCACCCGCCGTGTCTCCTGCTGCTGTATGACCTTTAGTTTTCTGTCAAACCTCCCCAGAGCGCAGACTTCACATCTAAACTCTCTTTGACTTTCGTTGTATCGGAGTTCAGAATTTTTCTCTTCTAAACAGGAAGTGAGTGCTTTTTTTTAACCAAGTGTGACATAAAACACCGTAGACACATTCAGTTGTGACGACTGGAAGTTTCAATCCAGGAATACTTTCAACACAACTTTTTAGGTTTTGATCATCGACTGTTTGAGGCTTACTTTCTGTCTGCCTGTCTTAGTGAGCGCTGTTTGGGAGTGACAGAAGCAGGTCTGTGGTTGTTGCTGGTCAGTGTGTGTCCTGTGGGTCTTATTCTGGACCCCAAGCCCCACCTCCAGCCACGGAGGCACCCAGTTCGCCCCTCCCTCACTATCAATAAATCAAGGAAACGTGAATTAAGTTTGACCAGTTATATTAAATCAAGGCAGGAAAAAATACAGTAACAGCGCTGAGACACATCTGAGCCATGCACTGTTTGTACCAACAGTTTTTGGGTGGTGGTGGTGGTGGTGGTGGGGGGGGGGTCAGCATGAGGGAAGAGGCTACCTTTAACACACCTGTATTGCGAGCTGCTAGCTTAGCATGCCCTAGCGTTGCCGACAGGTGGGGTGGGGGGGGCGTGGTGCGTGTGGTTCTGTTGATGGGGCGGGACTCCCCGCTTGTATAATGGTAGGGGAAACACTCTTTAAATTTTATCCAGAAATGTTCTAATTTCAAACGTTCTCTTGTGTTTATGAGTAGTTTTAAATAGGAATGTTTAAACTCGAATGTGAGCACGGTTGGTGTAACGTGTGACTTCTGAGACGTCACTTTTCTCACGGAGCACTCGTCCGACGTGCGCTCACTGTTCCCGTGCACACGCCGCATGGATCTATTGATTTTCTTTTTGGAAGCTGAACGTAATAACAAGAAAATATGTGGCCTCACGCGGCTCGAATCAGTGAGGTCATGAAGAACATCCAACGACTCCTGGGAAACAAAACTGATGGATAAAAACCAAAAAGACTTTTTAAATTCAGCTGATGGCTCCATTTAAATAAAAAGGAACTGTTGGGAAACATGGAGCAGCTGGTTGGGAGAGACATGCAGATTAAAGGGTGGGAGTCGGGAAAAGCTGAGATAAACTGCAGGAAGACGGATTGTTTCAGCTTCATGAGAAAGTTCAGGAATACTCTGTCTAATCTGTATTTACCACCCTGATCATGAGTAATACGCTGGGAAGAATCCAAAGGTTGGGAAGCTGATACTAGATTAACACAAAGTAATCACCTCTGGTTCAGATCTCCACCACTCGGCTCTGCTCAACCAGATGACTCCTCTTTCCATCTCTGTCACAGATTCTTCTCAACTTTCCTCGGAGCGGCTGATTTCTTAATCCCTGGCAGGATATAGCTCACTGTTTGAAAGCAGGAGTTCATATAAGGAGTTTGTAGACGAGTCGGGGCTGCTTATAGAAGCTCAACATGACTGAGTTTGGCCTCAGGGGTGAAACGAAGGTGAAGCTTTTTTCTTTTCCGTCGGGCTGAGATCAGCTTAACGAGCCGAGGAGAAAAAGACAAGCTGAAGAGCTTGAATCAGGTCACGGAGGAAACAAAACGCTGAAAACATTTCCTAAAGGAAGAGTTCAGATCTTTGGAGCTGGGGCTCCAAAGGGGTAAAAGTAATAAACAATATCTTACCTGTTCAGCTTGGAGCAATGAGACTCTGCAACCTTTAAGGTGGTATCTGGTGTACTGCTTTGCAATATCAGTGACTAGTGTATATCTTAGATCTTTTAGCGTAGTGTTTTTCAAAGTGGGGGCCGCGGCCCCCCAGGGGAGGCCTCTGAAAATTGAAGAGAAGATTTTTTTTTTAAATAGTAATAATAATAATAAGAAGAAGAATTCCCCATTAGGTCAATCTGTATCTGTCATTTAAAGATAAACACGCTTGAGAGAGAGTTTAGATTTTTTTTTGTTTTGTTCTTCGGGTCAACAGTTTGTTGAAAAGTTGTTTTTTCCAGTGGTAAAATAAAACCGTGTTTTAAACATGTTGGGTAATAACATTTTTATGCTCAGCAGTTGTAATAATTAATTGAATATAGTGAATAAAAGTTAAAACATTCTAAAAGTTGATGTTTGTTTACATATTTTGTAGCATTGTTTGTGGGTTTGTGAGGGGGGCCTCGGCCAGAAATTAATGCTGTTTGGGGGGGCCATGGCATGGAAAAGTTTGGGAACCCCTGTTTTAGCGTACCACATGTGACGAGAATGACGATAAAGAACCTTGAATCCTTGAAGGAGTTTGTGTAATTAATTAATTTGTGCTTTTTCTGCTGCTGCTCCTAAATTGTGGAATGACTGACGGTACATAGCCCTGCGCTCCTGCGAATGCTTAAAGTGTTTCATGAAAAAAGCTGGTGTTTAGTTTTGCTTTACTCATTTTTAATTAACTTTTTAGTAGCACTTCCTGTGCAGCCTGAGGCACTTCCTGTAGGAACATCATGCAAATCTGACATTGGTGTAAAGCTTCATAAACAGTCTTTGGTTAAATCTCTGGGATATTGTTAACTCTGGAGTTGTTTCAAGGCGACTATTATTCTGCTTGAAAACACGCGGCGCCTGTCAGCTCATCAATCTGACTGTTCTGCGTCAGGTAACATATTTACTGTTCATAGCGTTTCCAATGCGCTGACCTAGCTTTATAAAATATCAAATCTGGAGCTGAAATAAAAGCCATGAAGCAAATCAGAGTGCGTCTGTGCGATGTGGCTTCACTCATGCAGCGTATTAGATGTCGAACATTCGTGCTCGTGCTGTAATCGTGCGCAGAACGCTCGCAGCTGCTCCACTCAGAGGAGCAGACTTTGTGATTTACAGATCAAACCCAAACTATAGTTTCCATCTGCTCTGGAAGCAGACGCTGTGCATCGGCTCAGATGAGGTCAGATTTGCTTACGTGCCTCCAGGGCTCAATAAACATTTACTCTCCTTTTATTTAAAAAAAACAAACATCTACCTTATGATCCGATGATGACGGTTGTTCCATTAACGCTCTGCAGCAGTAACACATAACATTGGGTGCATTTTTCTTATGTGGAAACAAAAAAAAGGAGAAATCCGTGGAAGCGTGTGCCTGTCCACACCTGCGTGAAATGAGAATAACAGCCGAGTCTCTCGTCGAGGCTTCGCAGGATCTTGTTCTGGGATGAGTGACTGACAAATCTCAGGAAGTCCTTAGCCCGAGGCGCAGACAGGATGTTTGTTTTCTATTTCTCCGTGTCTTTCTCGCGCCCCAGTGGGACATCTTAACACAATAAAATGTTGCAGAATAAAATGGCTTGGAGCCACGGACTGAGCTGTGAGAGCATTTTGATGTTTTCAGCTCAAAGGTTGAACACGATGAGGTCAGAGATTTCTTTGAATTCATAATTATTGTAAGCTTACTTAAAAAAAACAAGGGTTTATTTTATTCAATGTGTGGATTCCTGTAGCTCAACTTTCTTGCAGGTTTGCTGTCATCCTTCTATTAAAGGTTTGTGTTTCTGTTTGTCTTTTCGTCACATATCTCCTGAAGCAGGCGATGGATTACAGGAAACTCCGGATCTACAGCCGACGAACGTTTCTTCCAAGATGGCTGCAGCTAGCCAACGCTAAAAACAGCTACAACTCCGTCGTTGTACAATTTTAGTGATGCAGGATCTCCGTTTAAAGATTTAGCATGCAAGACAGCGGGCGTAATATTTAAGAAATGCAAGTTTAATAGAGTTATGTGATGAGGATGAGCTGCAGGTGTGAGGATTTATTTATTTATTTATTTATGTTAGTTCTTTGTTTCTACATCAGGCTTGGGTTCCTCTGGAAACGTTATATTTTTTTTCAGTGTTTACTGTGTTAAAAACGAGCAAGTTTACATGGCAACGCTGTAGCTCCTTGACAGGCAGGGTTGCCAGATAAGAAATGATGAACTAGCGTAGCGTCAACTGTTATATGTGCTGAGTGTAAGATGAGGCGTTTGTGTTTAAAATGTGCGCTGTGTTAGTGTTCGTGCTGTTTGGTGACTTAAAGCTAAGAGATGCACAGTTTTGTTGTTTTTTATTTTTAATTTGTGTCCCGTACATAAAAATGTCAGTGCTGAGAACAACAAGGTGGTATTTGTTAAGACGTTAGCAGCTAGTTCGTGTCTGCGCATCCGAAGGCATCAGCTGCAGTATTGTTTCATGACTTCCTGAAAGGTTTGTTTCAC